GGCCTCCGCGACCCAGAGCTCCATCGAGTCCAGGTCCAAGCCAAAACTGGCCAGAAGCCGTCCTGGCGTCCACGAAGACACCCAGGGCGTCCCTGGTCGAACGACGGCCCTCGTTGCCGAAGGGGCGGGGGGCCGCGGATGAGACCAGAGGACCGAGGATACGAGCGAGGTGAGGTCCGAGGGAGAGGGCAGCTCAGGCTTCCCTAGACGCCAGCCGTCGTACCTGGAGAGCCACCTGGGGAACCGACGCTCCTGTTCTGCTGTCGGAGGCCACGCCCTGCCGCTTCGGGCGCACGCGGCTTGGCCAGGCCTCTATCAGCTCCCCAGGCAAACGCTGCACCGGATATGCAACCCATCAAACGAGGTCCTGCGAGCACTGACGAGCCGTCGGCATCAAATACCTTGCACGGAGGCAGTGGGCCGTCACCTGGCAGAGTAGCCCGAGCTCGGGGTCCTTGGGGCCCTGGGCAACATCCGGGAACACCTTTCTGAAACAGAGGGACACCGTGGGAGGGCCAGGCAGCTGACGCGACCGCGCAGCACGAGTCCCAGGGGGAGCAGCCTCAGGGAGCCACTCCGAGTCCCACCAGCCCCTCTCGTTCAGAAGGACGCCTTGATGCCCAACCCACTGGCCAACCTCTCCGACGCAACCGCTTGAGGCCGCGAATCCGCTCGGCAGCACGCCTCGCTTAGCCAAGGCATCCGCGATGCCGTTTGCCTTCCTCTCGCACCGAGTGGCCCCCCCCCGCCCCGCCTCGCTCGTGCGGTCGCGGCTTTTGTGAACAGGCGCGCCCTCCTCGAAAGAGGCGTGAGCTTGCATCCAGCTGTGGGCCTGGGGGCTCCGAGGGGCCGTCGCTCGGGGCCGAGACCTGGCGCCGTCGACCGTGGCGGTACAGTCTGTCCAGACGCACTGGCCCGAAGGCGGCCGCAATCATGGCTCCTGGGTCGTCCACGCTGACCGCGGACCAGCAAGCCCGACGCAGCACCGGCTCCGAGGGATGCAACGCCGATCCGTCGGTGGAAATGTTTTCCGAAAGCATGCCATCAGGTGGCCTGCGGATCCAAACAACCTCGCTTTGAGCGGACAAATGGGGCGGCGGAATCAGTTCTCGCGGGCATGGGAAGGCACCGTTGGCAAAGAATTCGCCAGCATCCCCCGGACTGAACAAGACGAGCTGCCGCGAGCCCCGCATCCGACAGAAAGTGCCTGCGGCCCTCCTGCCAAGCAACGCATTCGAACCGCCGATCGAGGATGGCCCCAGGCCCACAGCCACGCAGGCGACAGTCAGGAGAGGAGGCTAAGCCGTGCCGAGACAGCCTCTCCAGTGGGTGCCCGAAACAACGGCCTGCAACGATTTTTTCTGCGGCCGATCCCGCGAGGCCGTCTTGCGGCCCAAGATGAAATCCAGAGGCTGCCAGAACGCGGGCCGACGTCTGGAATTGAAGCCAGCGCGAGCCTCCAGAGAGCGAGAATCGGACATCTCCCTCGCGGCTTTCTCGGCGAGGGCAGCAGCAGTAGCAGGTGATATTCGGAAAGCGCGCCAGTGGGTGGCCCTGAATACACTAAAGAGGGGGGGTGCTCGCAGAACCCTCCCCCCCCTCACCCCCTTCAAAGGGGGGGTGAGATTTTCGACCCCCCCCCTCCCTCTCCCCTTTCAGGGGGGGGGTCCGAACCCTTCCCCCCCCCCTCCCTTGAAGGGGGGGGGGTCCGGACCCCCCCCCTCCACCCCTTGGCGCTGGAAAGGGGGAGGGGTTCGAACCCTTCCCCCCCCATCCCCCCCTTTGCGCCGAACAGGGGGCTGGGGAGGGGGCCTCTCGGGTAGTGAGTAGAGATTCGAGTGTTTTGAGTAGCGATTTGTGCGTAGTGTGTATTTGATAGTGAGTAATGCGCAGTGAGTCGTGAATGGTGAGTAGTGAGTAGTGTGTAATGGGTAGTGGTAGTCGTGAGTAGCGCGTAGAGATTTGTGAGCAGTGGGTAGTGAGTAGTGGGTAGTGAGTAGTTGGAAGGACGTAGTGAGTAAGGAATTGTGAGTAGTGAGTAGTGAGGAGTGAGTCGTGTGGAGTGAGTGGTGCATAGTGAGTAGTGAACTGGGAGCAGGGATGAGGGAGTAGACAGTAGCGAATAGCGAGGAGTGAGTAGTGAGTAAGAAGTAGTGAGTAGTTCGCAGTGAGTAGAGAGTAGTGAGTAGTGAGTGGTGACTGGCGAGTAGGGAGTAGCGAGTAGGGAGTGGCGAGTAGTGAATAGTGAGTAGCGAGTAGGGCGTTGTGAGTACTGAGTAGTGAGGAGGGAGTAGTCAGGTGCCAGTAGAGAGTAGTCCGTAGCGAGTACGGAGTAGCGAGTAGTGAGTAGTGAGAAGTGAGTTGTGAGTAGGGAGTAGTGAGTAGTGAGTAGTGAGAAGCGAGAGTTTATATTGAGTAGTCGGTAGTGAGTAGGAAGTAGCGAGTATAAATTTGTAGGTAGTGAGTCGAGAGTAGTGAGTGGTGATTAGCGACTTGCGGTTAGTGACTAGTGAGTCGGAGGTAGCGAGTCGTGAGTAGTGAGTAGTGAGTAGTGCGTACTGGGTGGTGAATATGTCCCATTCGGTAGCGAGTAGCGGTTACTGAGGTAGTGAGTTCTGGGGAGTACGTAGTGAGTTGTGAATTGTGAGTTCTCAGTAGTAAGTACTGGATAGTGCTAGTGGGTAGTGAGTAGTGCTTAGCGAGTAGTGAGTAGTGGGCAGTGAGTAGTGTTTAAGGAGTAATGACTATTGAGTACCGGTTAGTGAGTAGTGAGTTGGGAGTAGGCAGTAGGGAGTAGGAAGTAGTGAGTAGTGAGTAGTGAGTCGTGGGGGCGTAGTGAGTAGTGAGTGGTGGGTAGTGAATAGTGCGTATTGGGTAGCGAATAGGGCGTAGAGAGTAGCGAGTACTGAATAGTGAGTAGTGATTACTGTGTAGGGAGTAGGGAGTAGCGAGTAGCGAGTAGTGGATAGTGAGGTAGTGAGTTGTGGGCAGTGGGTAGTGAGTAGTGAAGTGTGTGTAGTGAGTAGTTGATAGTGGTTAGTGGGTAGTGAGTGGCGATTTGTGATTAGCAAGTAGTGGGTAGTGAGCTGTGTTCAGTGAGTATTGATTAGTGGGTAGTGAGCAGTGAGTAAGTAGCTTGTAGAGAGTAGTGAGTAGTGGGTAGGGAGTAAGGAGTAGTGAGTAGTGAGTCGTGGGTAGTGAGTAGTGCGTCGTGAGTAGTGAGTAGTGCGTAGTGGGTAGTGGGTAGTGAGTAGTGAAAAGTGAGTAGTGAGTAGCGACTAGCGAATTGTGGGTAGTGAGTAGTGCGGAGTGTGTAGTGAGTGCTGTTTGGGGCTGTGGTTTGGGTTTGGGGTTAGGGCTACGGGTTAGGGCAAGGGTGAGGATTAGTGTTTGGGGTAGTATGGGTCGGGTTTTGGAAACCGGGGGCGCCGTGGCGAAAGGCGGGGAGGGGGGGGGGGGGGGGGGGCGAATTTGGCGGCCAAAAGGGGGGAGGGAGGGGGGGTTCGGACCCCCCCCCTTTCTGAAAGGTGGGGGGTTCTCGACGACGGACTGGGAAAGGGGGGGTGGGGGGAGGGGGGGTTCCCCGACGACGGATCGGGAAAGGAGGGGGTGGTCCCCGACGACGCATCGGGGAAAGGGGGGGTTCCCCCCCCCACCCCTGGGGGTCATCCAGCGGCGCGCCCTTTGATGCTCGCAGTGAATCCACATGCTCACCCGTTGCGGGCGTGATCAAACGTGCCGAGTGCGTAGTCCGGCCTAAGGTTCCATGAGCATTCGCAAACATTTGCACAGGCGACGCGCGCGGCTCCGCGGTCGACCGGTGCTGTAGCGCGTGGGCGGCATCTTCAAAGGTGGCCTGGAGGATCGAGATCTGGGGGGTTCCATCCCGGAGAGCCCGAGGCCACTTTGTTTCAAATGCAAAGGCGCGGGATCTATGCACGGGGTCCAGCTGGAACGAGCGCAGCTCGAGGCCCGCAGAGGCCTTTCTCTTAGGGGGGTGCAGCCGAGAGCAGGGCCTGCCGTTTGGGCCTCTTCGGCCGAGGCAGGGGGGTCCTCGAGCAGCGCGGCCCCGCAGGGCCCCCGCTCGAAGCCCAGCGCGTTGCGCGCGCCCTTTGGAGGCCCCCGCGGTGCGCAGCTTACGGTGCCCAGCGGACCCCCCGAGGCGCGCTCGAACCTTCGGAGAGGCAACGGGGGCGCTCCTGCTGGCGTGGACCTTCCGAATGGCCGCGAGACTCCGCGGCGCACCCTTGCGCTTGAAGGCCGTTTTCCACATGGCAAAAAGCCCCTTAGCTGATGGGCGTGTCTTCCACCACCACCACCACCATAAGTTGGAGGGGGAGGGGGTCCTCCTCCTCCTCCTCCTCCTCCTCCTCCTCCTTCCCCCTCCGACTTATGGTGGTGGTGGAAAGCAGGCCCATCATCAGCAACCGAACGTGGCGTTGCCAGAAATTTGTATTCTTCTCAGACAGCACAATGCGCAGCTGGCGCAGGCCGGCCACGAGCTTGCCCCCGACGGCCCCGGGCTCCGAGGCGACGCGGGAGCTTGACCCGAGGTCCTGCGCCGAGATGTCATCGATTACGTTGCGAAGGCTGACGGAGGGGTGGGGCGCCGTTGCACGTCCAGGGTAGAACGTGGGCCAGTGTGCAAGGCGCGTGCAGCCCTGGTAATTTTGAGCGAGAAACCATTGACTGCCGCCTCATCGCGCCAGACGTAGTGGCACGCCCTTTCGTGGAATTTGTCAAGGTCCGTCGCCAGCATCGAGGTGTGCAACCCCCTGCAGCGCGCGAAATGCACGGAGACCTGGTGGGCCCAACCCACTCTGTCACACTCGCGATCTCTCTGGTCCTTGAACATTTGGGAGTCGTGGGCCCCAACCACCCGTTGGCCAAGTCGCGCCCGACCGTGCCCTGGACACGCAGGGCGGGGGTCGTGGGGGCGATGGGCCTAACTCCAGGGCCATCAGGCTTGAAGAGAAATCCACGGGCGTCGGCCAGCGCGCCGACAGCTGGGGCTTGGACTCCCGCATCATCGTCAAGTCGACGAGCCTCTTCCCGAAGTCATCGCCCAACAAGTCGAAGGACCTCGGGTTGGAGCAGTCCACGCCGAGTCGCAGGGGCGGCCTGATCTCTGGCAGCGCGTGCCGAACGCGAGCAAGCGAAGGGCGGGTGCGCGCCTCCGCCTGAGCCGCTGCAGCCTGCATGTTCGGGATGGCCTCTTTGCAGTCGTGCCAGTAGTTTCCCGTGTATTTTGCATGGCTGCCGCCGCCGCGCCCCCTTGCTAAGGCCGCCCTATCGGGGGCGCAAGGCCCGAGGGCCTGTGGCGGCTCCGCGAGAAAACGATGGGCCTTGCGGCCCCCGCGCTTGACCGAGCTCTTTGCCCAGTCCTTCCGCTCGTCGGGGGCTGCCTTGGCGGCCGCAGCAGCCGCCTCCCGCGCAGTGTTTCCCGCGTTGCTGGAATCCGATGGCGGCGCAAGGCCGGTGAGCTGATCCCCGACAGCGACGCGATGTCCGCCGCGTCCAGCTCGCTGACCAACTGATCCAAGATGGGGTCGCGGTCCTCGACCTTGGACGCGGTGGCCTCCGTCTCCGGGGCGTTCCTCAGCTCTGCTTCGCTAGTGGCCGCGCCGAGAGGGCGGGTGATCCAGGGGCTGTTCTGCCCCGTCGTCGCAGCTGCTTTGGGGCGAGCGCGCCCGAGAGTGCCTCGCCGCGCTCGGCGCGGCAGTCGGCGAGGTGGGTGCAGGGGCGCCGGGCAGCGCGGCGGCCTCGTGGGCGTCGGCCCTCGACGCGCCGACCTCCAGCTCCTGCGCGCGTCTCCTTCCTGCCTCGCCAGTGGCCGCGCCGCCGTCCGCCGTGTGCGCACGGGCATGATCCCTGAAGCCAGGGACGTCAGCTCGACCACGATCCCCGAGGCGGGGGTCCGCGGTCTGGGCCCACGTCTGCATTGGACTCGAGATGCCCAGTTGCCGTGCCTCCCGCGCCGGCCGCAGCCCCGCGTCGGGGTGCGCGGGCCGAGCAGGACCTCCTTGCGAGCATCTCCTCCCGTCACAGAGAGGAGGTGTACAGCGCGAGGTACGGTCCCAAAGACGTGCAGTGAACAGAAGACGGTGCCTCCAGCCTGGGCAGGCCGCTGGGGAAGCACGAAGCGGTCGGGGGCCGCGATCCCCCCACGCCAGAACGTCAGGCCCGCTGGTGGCCCCTGAGCCACGCTACGGGAGGAGGAGAAGGAGGAGGAGGAGGAGGAGCAGGCCTCTTGGGAGCCTCTTGCGGCACTCTTGGGTTCTCCTGGGAGCTTCCTGGGAGCCTCTTGGAGGCCTCTTGGGGCCTCCTTGGACCTCTTGGGGTCCTTCGGGAGCTTCTTGGGGGCCTCTTTGGCCGTCTTACGGCGTTCCTGGTTCGTCGGAAGCCGTCTAGGGAGCCTCTCTGGGCAGTCTTGGGGCCCTCTTGGGGCGCATCAGGGTTGCCTCAACTGCCATCTTGTCCATCTTGGAGGCCTCTCTGGGTGTCTTAGGGCCCTTTGTGGGGTATCTTGGGGGCCTCTTCGGCGCTCTGGGGTCGATCTCTGGGGCCTCTTGGGCTGTCGGACGCCCGAAGAAGGCAGATACCAAAATCCTTTAAACCACCTGAGGCAATTCAATAAGTTTGGCCCTTCGGGCCCTCCCAGAGGACCTCTTGGACGTGGAGGCCTCTTGGGGTCCGTCTTTGGCCGTCTGGAGGCTTCTTGGGCGAACTTGGAGGCATGTTGACTCTCTTGGGCCGCCTTGGAGCCATCTTGGACCATCTTGGGCGAACTAGGGGGCCTTCTTGTCCGTCTTGGAGGCCATCGTGGGCCATCTTGGAGCCATCTGGAGCAGGATAATCTTGGCAACCACCCTTTCTGGGTGGACCGCGCGCTGTGCCGTTGCCCAGGGGGAGTCTTTAAACTACCCAGAAAACCTTTCAGAACATCCGGCACGCCAAGCACATCCGTTGAGAACATCCAGAATCGAAGACGCATACGGCGAATCACCGCCTCCCCCTGCCTTCTAGAATCGTCCATGTGGCCGAGCTTTGTGGCAAGAGCTCTGCCAAGCTATCGGACCATGCGTTCCCCCAACCGTTGTGGAAACAGTGGAGACCCTTCGGGGAACGCTTGGGGGATGGCGAGGAAGATCAGGGAGACGCGGAGGAGGAGGAGGAGGAGGAGGAGGAGGAGAAGGAGGAGGAGGAGGAGGAGGCGGCATCTTGGGAGCCTCCTGTGGCACTCTTGGGGTCTCCTGGGAGCTTCCTGGGAGCCTCTTGGAGGCATCTTCGGGGGCTCCTTGGGCCTCCTGGGGGCCTGTTGGGGGCGTCTCGGGGGCTTCTTTAGCCGTCTTGGTGGGCTCCTGGCCCGTCTGACGCCGTCGGAACCCGTCTTGGATGCCTCTTCGGGCCGACTTGAGGCCCTCTTGGGGTGCTCCAGGGCCGCCTTGAAGGCCATCTTGGACGTATTGGAGGCCTTTTTCGGGCCATCTTGGGGCCCTCTTGGGGCCTTCTTTGAGCCCTCTTGGGCCGTTCTGGGGCAATCTTGGAGGCCTCTTGGGCGATCTTTGGCCAATCTTTGGGGGCTCTTGGGCCGTCTCGGGCCGTCGGAAGGCCGAAAAGAAGCAAATGCCACACAATCCTTCACACACCGAAGGAACATCACTGATTTTGGCCTCTTCGGGCCTTCCTGAATGCCCTCTTGGAGGCCTCTTGGGCCGTCTTGGGCCATCTTAGAGCCATCTTGGGCCGTGTTGGTTAGCTCCTGGTCCTTCTGACGCCGTCGGAAGCAGTCTCGGGGACCCCTCTGGGCCGACTTGGCGCCGAATGCTCGAGGGTCGTCTTGGAGGCCATCTTGGGCGTCTTAGTCTTTGGGCCCTCTTGGGGCCCTCTTGGGGGTCTCTTGGGCCGTTCTGGGGCCGTCTTATCTTGGAGGCCTTTTGTGCGATCTTGGGGCGATCTTTGGGGGCTTTTGGGCCGCCTCGGGCCGTCGGAAGGCCGACAAGAAGCACATGTCATACAATCCTTCACACACACACACACACACCGAAGGAATAACTGATTTTGGCATCTTCGGGCCTTCCTGGAGGCCTTCCTGGAGGCTCTTGGAGGCCTCTTGGGCCGTCTTGGGCCATCTTGGAGCCATTTTGGGCCGTCTTGGTGGGCTCCTGGCCCTTCTGACGCCGTCGGAAGCCGTCTTGGGGGCCTCTCCTGGCCGACTTGGGGCCTTCCTGGGGTGCTCCAGGGCCGTTTTGGAGGCTTCCTTTGGCGTCTTCGAGGCGTCTTGGGCCGTCTTGGGGCCCTCCTGGAGCCGTCTTGGGGGCCTCTTGGGCAGTCCAGAGGCCATCTTGGAGGCCTCTTGTGCGCTGTGGGGGCGATCTTGGGGGCCTCTTGGCCCGTCCTGGGCAGTCGGCAGGCCGAAAAGGAGCAAATACGAAAATCCTTGCAAACCTAAGGAACATCAATGATTTTAGCCTCTTCGGGCCCTCTTGGAGGACCTCTCGGAGGCCTCTTGGGCCGTCTTGGAGGCCTCTTGGGCACCTCTTTGGCAGTGATGTGCCGGCTTGGAGGCTTCTTGGGCGGACTTGAAAGTATCATGGTCCCTCTTGGCCGTCTTGGAGGCCATCTTGGCCATCTTGGAGGCATCTTGGAGGCCATTTTGGGCCATCTTCCCAGTCTTGAAAGCCATCTTGCACCACTTTAAGGGTAGCTCTTTGGGAGATGTTACAGTATCGGGAGCATAGCTCGCGCGCCGCTGCCTTGGGCTCAAGGCACGCGCGCCCTATTTGCCCGGACACCGCGAGTGTTCGCTATGTGCTGGAAAGATCATTACATCGATCTTATCCTATCTTATCCGCCCACCCCTCATACTGTACCTTCACAGCTACAGCAGAGCGATGGACGCTATTTGCCATCCGATGTCCACGGTCAGCGCCTTGGAATCGGATGCTATATGACAGGCTATATGCCCTATTTGAGTTACCAGGCTCACTTTCGACTTGGTAGCGGAGCTGGCCGCACTCTCGTGTGGTCAGCTCTTGCTCTTCTCAGCCTCACATTATTCGGCACGATCTTCGTGACCACCTACTACCCTGCGCCACCACTCCCAGTACATTTACGAGGATCTATTCGAGAGCAAGAAGCTACACGAGAGGTACGACGTCTAGACGACCAAATTGGTACCATATACGCTTCATCATTGCGTTACTACCAACCGCTCGGCAACGAGCCAATAACGCAATACCTGAAGCAAGGGCGGGGAAACCCGCCAGACAGAGCGCCTCGAAGACTCGACAAGGCGCTACCCCAGCGCGACACCGCTCATCATAACCATTCTTCGTTACACATTCTTGGGCTAATCGTTTTCGCTATCATATGGTTCGCGCTGGGGGCAGCAATCGCACACATGCGTCGGGGAGATAACAGCACCGATGGGCAAACACATGGCCCATATTGGGACCCTCAGGGTAATGTACCTTTTCGTGAGTACATTTACGAGGTCAACGCGTGGCTCAACGTTACAAGCGGACGTATGACGCCACAGGCCCAAGCGGCCGCAATACAACGCGGCCTGGGAGGCCTAGCGAGGACACTCGCCATGAGGGTACCGCCTGACATTATAAACTATGGTGCTGACATTGATGGGGTCCACACAGACCCAGTAACTTACATCATGTTCCTCCTCAGCATGAAGTTCGAACGCCTGGAAGATGAGCGACAGCTCACTTCCGGCACACAACTCATCGACTTCCATGTGCCTCACGGGGAACGAATCGATGTCACTCTTACCCGATTCGAAATGGCCCGACTTGAGGCACAGTCGGTGGGATTCGACCTTCCTAACTTCCAACTGCTAACCACTATCCTATTCCGCGCCTTAGGCGTCGGCAACCAGAAAGCCATGCAACTCTTGCAGCCACTCAACCACCAAATGCCTCGAACACAACAACAATATGATGAGTTGCTGGAAAGGATGCGTTCGGTAGGTCACCTATCCGAACGATCCCCTGGCAACATAGGATCCGTGTTTGGAAGAGGAAGGGGATCTGGTAGTGGAAATTTCTACACTACCTTGACTACCGAAGCCCAGCCTGGAAACGGGCCCTCAAACATATGGGCCGATGACCCAGGAGAATCCACTGCTTTATTAGCAGGGGATCGATCACAACCAAGCTGGGCAACCAGTCCTCCTTCTAGAGAACCACAACCACACCGCTCATTATGGGGGGGATCAAATCCCCTAACCGACGGTGTATCCACCTATTTAGGAGACGAAGATTTCGACTCTGGCACCGATACAGACACTATATCATCAGACGGTGTTGAAGCTCTAGATTGGTCAGATATCATGAATATGGATAACGACAATCAGCGTGCTGAGCATTTATTCTGGCTGTTACAACAGGCTAAACGAAGGTGGAGGAGGTTCACACGAAAACCAGTGCGTCGTGTTAGAAGGAGGATACGCAGAAGCTTTAAAGGAAAGGGTAAAGGCAAGCGTGGTCGTCGGAGGTTGAACGGGCGAGGCATCGCGGCATTTCTCCAGAGGCTCTCAGATGAACAACATGATGAGATATTCTTTGGGGGAAAAGGCCGCGGT